ATGACTGTATTAGTTCGTTTTCATGCTGCTGACAAAGACATACCCAAGATTGTGCTATTTACAAAAGGAAAAGGTTTAATGGACTCACAATTCCACATGGCTGGGGAGGCCTCACAATCATGGCAGAAGGTGAAAAGCACATTTCACATGGTGCTAGACAAAAGAAGAGAACTTGTGCAGGGAAACTCCCCCTCTATAAAACCATCAGAGCTCATGAGACTTATTTACTATCACAAGAATAGCACAGGAATGACCTGCTCCCATGATTCAATTACCTCTCACTAGGTCCCTCCCACAACATGTGGGAATTGTGGGAGCTACAACTCAAGATGAGATTTGGGTGGGGACACAGTCAAACCATATCAATGAGCATATCATCTGCAAATAGAGTTTTACTTCTTTTTTTCCATACCAAATGCCATTTTTTTGGCTATTGTACTGCCTTGAACCTCTAGTATATGGGTCAATAGAAATGACAGAGAAGACATCCTTGCTTTGCTCTTTATTAAAAAAAAAACAACACTCAGTCTTTCACTGTATGATATTAACTTCCTTTTGATCTATTGAAGAAGTTAGTTCCTTTTTAGATGATTTTTGTCAAATACTTTTTTTCATCTTTTGAGATAATAATATGGTTTCCCTTTTTGTTTGCTAATGTGGTGACTTACATTGACTGATTTTCAAATATTAATCTAACCTTGCATTTCTGAGAGAAAACCCACTTGGTCTTGATGTATTATCCTTTTTATATAATGTGACATTCAATTTGCTAAAATTTTGTTTAGAATTTTGCATCAATATTTATAAGGGATATTGGTCTGTAGTTTTATTTTCTTATAACATCTTCTGGTTTTGTATCATGGTGATGCTGACCTAATATAATGAATTGGGAACTATCCCTTCCTCTTCAATTTTGTGGAAAACTTGTATAGAGTTTGAATTGCTGCCTCTTTAAATATTGTTTGGTTTAAGACAGTTCACCAGTGAAGGTCTATGATCCTGAATTTGATAAGGTTTTACACTACAAATTGAATTTTAAAAATTGATACAGGACTATGTTAATATCTATTTCTTCTCAAGTGAGCTGTGGTAGCTTGTATCTTTTAAAGGATTTATCCACTTCATCTGTTATCAAGTTTATTGGTATTAAGATGCTCATAATCTTCCCTTATTATTTTTTGGATGTCTGTAAAGTCTGTAGTAATGTCACTTCTCTCATTTCTGATTTGAATAATTGTGTCCTCTCTCTCTTTTTTTCCTGAGTCTGACATATCTTCTCAAAAAGCCAGCTTTTGATGTATTTTCTTTTTTCTGTTTAATTTATGCTTTGAACAGATCATTCTGCTGTTTATAACGCATTTCATTTTTTCCTGCTCCTATCTTCTTAAGGTGGAAACTGATTCATTGGTTTGAGACTTTTCTAATGCATTCCTTTAGCACTTTAAATTTCTCTTTAAGTACTACTTTAGAGGCATTTCACAAATGTTGATATGTTGTGTTTTTATTTTCATTGAGTTCAAAATACTTCATTTCCTTTTTGATTCATTCTCTAACCAATGGGTTATTTAGAAGTGTGTTATTTAGTTTCCATATATTTGGTATTTTCCAGATACTTTTATGTTATTTCTAATGTAATTGATTTCTAATAAATTACATTAGAATCGCATGAGAATGAATCACCTTAACTTTTAAATTTATTGCTCTGTCTTGGTAAATGTTTTACATGGTCTTAAAAATGTGTATTGTACCATTTTGGGGTGGGATGTTCTACAAATGTCAACGAGGTCAAATTGGTTGATTTTGCTGTTCAAGTCTACCTACTATAACTTTACTAATTGTCTATCTTCTCATTCTCTCAATTAGTGAGAATGTATTGAAATTTCTGTAATTGTGGATTTACCTATTTTTCCTTTGAAGTATTATTAGTTATTGCTTCATGTATGGTGAAGCTCTGCTATTAAGTGCGTAAGTATTTAGGATTACATTCTCATGATAAACTGATTCTTTTATCACTATGAACTGGTCTTTAAAAAATCTGTTATTATTTATCCTGAAATATATTTTTATCTGATATTAATATAGGCCCACCACATTTCTTTTGATTTGTGTTATGATGGTATATCTTTTTTCCATTCTTTTACTTTAAACTCATTTGTGTCTTTACATTTAGTATGTTTCTTGTAGGCAGCATATAGTCTCTGTGTTTTTATCTAATATGACAATCTCTTCCCCTAGATCATCTGTTTAATCTGAGTATTTATATCATTAGATTAAGACTATCATTTTGTTTTCTATTTGTTTTTTGTTTGACAGGCACTGATTTGGCCTTTCTCTGGCAGCTGCAATTGTGTATGGTATGACACTTTTCAGGCAGCCATATCCATGAACACACTGAGATTTTCCATAGATGTGTAATTTCAAAGCAGTGTTAGACATTAAATCAAGCTTCCTGTTGGTCTTCTCAACAACAAAATCCAGGGCCAGGATCTTTTAATTTTTTCGGCAAACTAGCAAAAAAAGAGTATCATCAACCAGAACACAACTCCCAAGGGACAAAATTTCTATACTTTCTAATCCTAGAGGGTCAAAGCTCAGGGCATTCACTGAATATTTAGCATCAATCACATCCCCAGTGTTCTGCAGATAAGAATCCTCTTAACTAATTTAAAGATCCAACATGATTATCATAGGTCTGTATTCCCAATAAACTATCTCACTGCCAGGACGTATGAGAGGTCATTTTTGAACACTAAAACATAAAAATTAAGATTAAATTTTTTATTAAATGGTGACTTTAAATATTTTTATGGAGTTTTTTTTTTCAATATTAAAGTTTGGCTAAATAATAGGAGCATCTGCATGCAAGCATCATGTATCATGGAACCAATTCAGAAAACAGCGTGGAAGATAATTGTGTGAATTACAGAAAGGAAAGGGAGGCAGGAGAGGCAGCATAACATAATTGTTAAGTGTGTAGACTCTAGAATCAGAATACCTGAGTTTTAATTAATCTCTCCAAATTATTTAGATATTTTGCAAAACCTGCTTATTAGGTCTAGTAAATATTTCGTGCAGTTTTTGAGATCTTCTACATAGAAGGATATGTTGTCTACAAATAACAACACTTTTATTTCTTCCTTTCCAGGTTGCAGGCCCACTCCCTACTTTGCTTTGCTTATTGCACTGGCTAAATTCACCAGTATGTTAACCAGAAAGAGTCAAGTAAATATTCTTGCCTTTTATCCAGCCATTAAATATGATGTTTACTGCAGGCTTTCCATCTACACCCTTTAACTATTTGAGGAGGCTGCCCTTTATTCCCAGTTTACTTAAAGGTTTATTATTTTTTTCAATCTACATTTTTTTTGAGACAGGGTCTCATTCTGTCACCCAGGCTGGAGTGCAGTGGTGCAACCACTGTAGCCTTGAGCTCCTGGGCTCAAGGTGTCCTCCCACCTTGTCTTCCTAAAGTATGGGGATTACAAAAGTGAGCCATAATTTTCTTGTTTTGTTGTTCCTATTTTGTGTGTTTTCCTATTTCTTCATCTTCTCTTACCTTTATCATGTCCTTTTTACTTTTTTGGAGTTAGATCACAGCATTTTTTTATTCTAACCTATTGAGACTGTTGCTTAGGTATTTTCAGGCTTTCTTTTTGCCTGATATATACTTACTGCTACACATTTTCCTCTATTATAGGTTTAGGCAGAATAAATTTTGTGAATAGTATGCAGTAAATTTGTTTTTTCTTTGTTTTACCCATTTGGATAACTGAGTCAGAGGCATTATTGAAATGGTGAGTTTCCTACCATTGTTCTAGAATGCCAACTTTGTCATAATTCAAGTGTCTGCAGGTAATTATCAGTTTTCAGATTCTCTTTTACCATTGATCTACATGACTACTCATGTAATACCACATTGTCTTAATTACCACTGTTTTATAAGAAGTCTAATAAGTTATCCAAATTTGTTCTTCAAAAGTGTCTTAGCTACTCTTGCCTTGGAACATTTCTGTATATAATTTTAGAACCAAATTATAAGATCTTTTAAAACAAGGTTTTTGAGGTTTTGATATAAGGTTCATTGACTATTGTGAAAAACTGATGTAATTGTGTTGAGGAGTGAAGAATATGACTAATCTCACATATTAGATACACTGTTGGGGCAACCATAGGATGCACAGATAAAAAAAATATAAAGAACAGACCGTCAGAGAAAGCCTGATAAAAGAATTATGCAAAACAAGACATCAGAGTAAGCTCAATGTAACTATTAATGAAAACTAGGTATCTGCCATTTACCAACAGGGGGGAAGCTTAGTTCCACACAACTGTAGCTTTAGTTCCATATAAATAGAGCTAAAAATCCACTAGAGTTTTATAGCCATGTGCTAGCTACCCACATGCTACATAGTATTTTTATTTCAGTTATTCAACAATAAAATTAGCAGATCCATTTTATGAATGGGCTTGCTCTTTTGGATTTCTCTTTTCCCACTCCAACAATATATAAATCACCTGGGATGTGGGGGGAATGATATCTTTAATATTGAGTTCCCACATCCCTGTCCAGTGAATGGCATCTTTAATACTCAGTTCCCACATCCCTGTCCAGCGTGCCCTCTACTCTACAGTCATTCTCAACTAGAGGAGCCCCATGTTTTCACAATAGACAGTTCAGCCAAGCAGGAAGGGGATCAAGTGGATAGGAAATCAAGCAGGAAATATGTGCAGATGCTGTGTTTATCACACAGGCATTCTCATACTTGCCAACTATGCTCTCCTGCAGGTCACTTCCAGCAAGGGTGCTCATCTAAAAATGCTTATCGGGGAATGGATGGAATGACAGAAAGTATAGTAGGAGATATCTTAGAGACCTCCAGTTCTCAAGGCTATGCAGGCATTACTTCTCCCCCCAAGAGTCTTCCCCTGTAAGTTTTCAGGGAAAACAGTTGGGGCTTCAGGAAAAGGATCACAAAGAAGTGAAGAGACATTAGGCAGGGTCTTTATGTGCAATCACCATGGTTTATATAAGTATATGAAAATAAATGCAAGTATTAAAAAACATAACCTTAACATAGCAAAAAATAAGGCCACCAGGATCAGAAGACAGTAAAATGAGCCACTTATAGGGATGGACAATCAAAAGCAGTGTCCAGAGGGAAAAGCAAGTTCAGATGTGGTTTCTACACATTAGTCTTAGCATCTAATGCTTCAAGATAGAGAGTAAAGATTTAAAAAGTACTAATATTAACTGAAAATGAGCTCTGCATTGTATTTGTACTTACGGATAAAAAATACTCAGGGGAAGTATGTTTGCCTCAAGTCACACAATCTGTGAGTCACTGAGCCAGGATTAAACCCAAGACCATCTGGCCTCAGTGCCAATGTTTTTCAGCTCCAAGTTCCCAGTTGGGAAGAATAAAAGGGACACCTGCCCAAAATGCATCAATCTCAAGGTCCTTCCAGAGATGCAGGTCAACTTATATGCTTGAGATGGGAAAATGCACACAGATCAACTTTACTGAATCTGATCAACCTATCGTTCAATTTTTTGTACAAGACCTTTACATGTAGCTTTAGGGGTCATGCTCAAGCCCCTTCTTAAAATGGCATATAGGTTTTATTTTGTTGTTTACTCGTTTTCTTCCATGTCTTTTATAGAAAATTACTTTATGGCCATAATTATGCCAAGTTAATATTAGCAGTTTCACAATGGCTGTTATCATTATGCAGTATAAGGAATATGCAACTTGACAATATTCTGTATGCTTAACTTGCTGCACTGATCACTGAGTTCGTAACTTTAAAATCTTTACATGCCATATTAAAAATGTTCTTCATTTATATAACTATTTTCCATCATCTTTGCTGGAAAAGTTAGGCATCACCAAACTAGAAACAGATTCCCTTAAAAATTTTTATCTATTGGGATATTGTCCCCAAGCTTATCAAATTAATTGGGTTTCTAGTAATTATTAAGGCTTGAGCTAATTCTAAGGCTTTTCTGTGGCCAGTTCATTATGATTTTACCACTGTATGAATTCTCTGGTGTACAGTTAGTTGTGACTTCTGGATAAAGGCCTTCCCACATATAGCACATTGATAGGGTCTTTCCCCAGTATGAATCCTCTGATGTAAAACAAGGTCTGACTTCTGAGAAAAGGCCTTTCCACATTCAGCACATATGTAAGGTTTCTCTCCTGTATGAATTCGCTGGTGTCCTGGAAGGTGAGACTTCTGAGAGAAGGCTTTCCCACATTCAGTACATATATAAGGTTTTTCTCCTGTGTGAATTCTCTGATGTCCAATGAGATGTGACTTCTGGCAGAAGGCTTTGCCACATTCACTACATTTATAGGGTTTTTCTCCAGTATGTGTTCTCTGATGTATGATGAGCTGTGACTTGCGGGAGAATGTCTTCCCACATTCAGTACATTCATAAGGTTTTTCCCCAGTATGAACTAACTGATGTGTAATGAGTTCCGTCTTCCTGCTGAAGGCTTCCTCACATTCAGCACATTTGTAGGGTTTCTCACCAGTGTGAATTCTTTTATGTATAATGAGGTGGGACTTCTCACAGAAGGCTTTCCCACATTCGGTACACTCATATGGTTTCTCTCCAGTATGAGCTCTATGGTGTATAATCAGCTGTGACTTCTGGGAAAAGGCCTTCCCACACTCTCTACATTCATAGGGTTTTTCCCCAGTATGTATTCTCTGATGTATAATGAGGGGTGATTTCTGGGAGAAGGCTTTCCCGCATTCACTACATTCATAGGGTTTTTCCCCAGTGTGAACTCTCTGATGTATAATAAGGGATGATTTCTGAGAGAAGGCTTTTCCACATTCAGAACAATCATAAGGTTTCTCCCCAGTATGAGTTCTCTGATGTACAACAAGATGAAACTTCTCACTGAAGGCTTTTCCGCATGCACCACAATCATATGGTTTCTTTCCAGTATGAATTCTTTGATGTACAATGAGCTGTGACTTCTTAGCAAAGGCTTTTCCACATGTAACACATACACAGGTTTTCTCTTTAGTTTCTACATTCTGATACTGAATAAGGGATTGTGTATTTCTAAAAACAGTTCCATACTGATTATCATCAAAAGGTATTACTCCATTGTGAATCTTCTCAAGATTAGAATTGGGCTCACTCTGGCTAGATGATTTTCCACCTCCAAAACTCTGATCAATTTTTTTTCTTGAATTGCTCTTATAACAACTCGGTAGGTCAATATTTGGTTTTAAGTTCTTTTTCAAAGCATCATATTTATGGAATCTCTGTATTGATGTACCTGTTTCTATGCACTCTTGAAATATTTTCCCCAATGGATTATATTTATGCCCTGATGCCTCAGTCACTGTTTTACTGTTAACAAATGTGACCTGCCTGAAGAGTTTGTCTTGATTCTCTAGAATTCTCTGCAGCTGACCATCACCTTGACAGACTTTTAAAATGGAGCACAATGAACCATCCTTTGTGACTCCCTTCAGTATCTTATGATGGAAGGAAACTGTCCCCAAAATACATGACTGGGAGTTGTGAAGGTTACTCTTCCTGTCTAAAAGAAGAAAACACACAATTTAAGAGTCATCACAAGAGTCAATTAACAGAGGGTAAAGAAGTAGAACAAATGGATGATCCAACATAGTAGATGAACTCACAAAAAAAGGATGGAAACAGGTCATCTCAGAAGACAGTACAGCATATAGTGTTATCAGGTGAAGAGATAGACAAGAATGTTAAACAGAAATATTCATGTAAAAACTAAACTTAAAAGCAATGAAGAAGTGTCAGGGGTCTCATCACTACTTTTTTTATTATTCTTCTAGAATCTTTCACTTCTGCTTTCTAAATAGAAACCCCTTTTCACCTTTTAGTTTCATTTGTATTATAAACCATGTGCTACACATTTTTATTATCCTACCATCACTCTAAAGAAACAAGGTATCTTCTGTATGCAAAATACTTTAACTCTCCTCCATCTATTTTCCTAACAACTAACACAAATAATGGAAAAATTCAATATCCTGCTGCAGATTCAGTATCAGAGTCAAACGGAGAATACAGACCTAAATTCCACTACTCCCAATAAACTACTTTCTATACATGTCAAGTAAAACTAGTAAAGTTCTCCCAGAAAAGCTATATCTTCCTGACCCTAGTTTTGTTCATATACTCTCTCCAACACTCTTTGCTTGCCTTCACCCTCCTCCTTCAGCCTCAGCAGCATTTATGTCATTCACAGCAGGTACAGTTGCATGCTCTGAAAAATGTCTCTCAAATACTCCCACATCTCTTTGGACTCTAATTTTCTCTGAACTTTTAAAACAGTAACTGCATTTGACATTTAATTTAGTACAGTCATTTACCTGAGAATCTTGCCTTTTAAAGTACAGCTTATGTTCTTGAAAGGAATTTGCCTTTTATTGCCTTTAAAACTCTTTCAGAAAAGACAGTAAATATAAATATATATATACACACATGAGACAGGATCAACAAAAAATAGGACTCCTCTGAAAAGCTCCACAATTACTTGTTGAGTGACTACTAAATTCTCAGCATAGAAGCAAAGAATAGGAGATTTCTATAAGGATAGAAATATAAACCTCAGGCACCAATCAATTAAAAAAATACACATAAATTGATATTTCACTTCCCTTGTCTCCCATCTGCCTGATATTCATCTGGATAGATCCAATTTGATATGTCTCTCTTTATGATCCATGGCTCTTCCCCTTGTTCCAACTTGGAGATGACATCTGGTTTGGAAACTGGATACCCTATTAAACAGAAATCACAGAGGATTGAAATTGACTTTACCTAAGGAAAAAGAAAAGGTGCAGTTTCAGATGGTCTACAATGAAGCTGTCCAGTTAGCCCTCAACAAAGGCATAACCTCCATTTGCAAAGGTATGAAGGTCATAAAAGTCATGACATATGTCAGGAACAACCTAATCACAGCAACTGGTAAGGAAAGGCACTTGATTGGACAACTCTGAGTTATTCGGGGAAGCCATCCTTACCCATTGAGACCAGGTGGCTGTAGTTCTCCAGCATCACATCCCTGTACAGGGTCCTCTGAGCAGGGTCAAGTTGCTGCCACTCCTCCTGGGTGAAATCCACAGCCACATCCTTGAATGATACTAACCCCTGTAATAGCAAATTCCTGTTCAATCTGAAGTGATCATTCTCATAATTTCTACTGTAATGTGCACAACTACACCCACACCTAGTTTTGTATCATAGTTTTTGGGAAAAACAAAATAAAATCCTGTTTTTAGCAAGCAGAGCCAGGCATACGAAGAGAAAAAAAGAGGTAAACCATAAAATGCCTACCTAATACATACAGTAATTTCATACGTTTTAAAGGCAGCACCCAAATAACCGGGAGGAAGATGGATTATTGGATGAATAGTATTGAAACAATGAATAGTAAACAGGAAAGGAATAATGTTGAAGAAATATTATGGGTTGAGTTGTATCTTCTGAATATTTATATGTTGAAGTCCTAACCCCCAGTACCTCAAAATGTGATATGACTTGGAAACAGGGTCATTGCAGATATACCTAGCTATATGAGGTATTTAGGGTGAAACTAAATCTAATATGATCTGTGTCCTTATCCAAAGGGGGAAATTTGAACACAAAGACATGCATAGAGGGAAGATAATGCAAAGAGTAAAAATAAGATAGTTATAAAGAAGCTAAGGAGAGAGGCATGAAACAAATACATCCCTCACAGTCCTGAAGAATAACCACCTTGATTTTGGAGTTCTAGTCTCCAGAACTATGAGACTAAATTTCTATTGTTTAAGCCACCCAGTTTATGGTACTTTGTCATAGCAGTCCTAGCAAACCAATACACTATATAATACCTGGGAAAAAAGAATAAATTCTGACGGAATAAAAATTTTAACTCTAAAAAGTACTAAAGACCATAAAAGTAACAAAATAAGACATGGGAGAATTTTAATTAATGATTATAGAGCAGAAATGCCCTTTGCAAGTACATTTTTTTTTTAAAAAAAGAAAAGCTACATTTAGAGAATCACAGAATGTCAGAGCTCTAGAAGATCATTAATCTAATCTCTTTATTTCATAGGAAAATGATCTTAGCTTCCCCCAAATTTAATAGCTGTCTTATATACACACAATAGCTAGTAATAGAATGAATATACCAATTACAGGAGCAACAAAAAATAAGGAATCCCGAATGATAAACTCAACAAAAATGTGCAGAAAACATTAAGGAAGAAACCACAACAAATTAGTGACATAACATCAAAAAAGAATTTGGGTAAAAGTAGAGTTATAAAATGTTTCTGGAGGGAAAATTGACTATTTTAATTATGTCCCCATTATCCTCACAATAGTTGTTAACTAATAGCAGAAACTAATCTAATAGTGATCTGTATTATTTTAAATAAATTGTTCAGACTTTTTTCCTAAATATTCCATTATTACCAAACACCACTTTCAGAATGAAAATGATTATTTCAAATGTCAACACTGCCTGGTTAAAAGCCTCCTTTGTTTTCTTCCTTGCTAACACAGTCTCATCTCTCTCATCTCAAATCTCAAGTTTTCTCTCATCCCACACCAATTCCATATTCACTCTGTCAAGCTGCCAAACACATAGTTGTCCGTGACAATCCTATTAATTTTCCTATTTTACACATAAGAAAACTGAGGATTACAGTGGTTAAGTAAATACTTGCCAAAGATTACATACTAAATATATGATTGATGAACTCTCATATCTGCAAGATTTATTCTCACTCAATAGTCTAGTTCTTGACTACTGCAGTCCAAACTGCCTCCTTGATACTGTAAACATGATCTTTTATATTTTATCACTTCAATACCAACCTTAGTCGACCTTTCCATGAAGCACTCTCCATTTTAGTTTTAAAATTCTCAGCCTTCCTAAAATCACTCTGCCCTACTTTTACAAACGCTGCTTCCTGTCCTCAGCCTACTTCCCTCATGAGCCAAAGTTCAATAATCATTTAAGCCTATTACCTACTTCCTTAGAAATCTGGTTGTTCCCCACTCTCTGCTATAACAGTACCTGCTCCATGTCTACTACAGAACTTTTATGCATTAATGTTAGTTTCTACATCTCTTTACATCTCTGCCAATGTGTTAATGTTGGTTTCCACATCTCTCTTTTCTCTGCAGTCCTCCCAGAAGAAAACTATACCTAAATCTGCTCAGGATATTCAACAGCTAGCCAGTGCATATGACATAAACTGGGTACTTAAGAAACGTTTGTTAAAAAGAAATGAATAATGATTATAAAGAAAAAACAAAAACTCATGTTTAGTTAAAAACTGTTTTGTGTATTAGTCTACATTTTTTTAATCTGAAGAAAAGTAACATAAGAAAGATAATAAATCTGGAATACAGAGGAAATCCATTCTGAGAGGTAAATTCATAGATGTTATCATTCTAACATTCTGATTTTGCTTTATTAATGATACCCAAATGCTTCAATATAATAAGTAGGTATAAATTTCTTAATTTTGAGAAAAATATAGTACATAATCAGTGGAAAATTATACTTTTGTCAACTAGAAACCATTTTTACACCTCGGGTCCCTGCGGAAATGGAAGTGCTATTAAGAGATGGAAGAAATGAAAGGGAAGTAGGTGTTACAGGCTGAAAAGGAGGATATGTGTAAAAACGACTTCACTTCTGGATGGTAGGGAACTAATACACAGCCCTCTTCCTGAAGGAAGAAGCAATTAATCAACTAATTAGCCACAGCAGTTGGATGTATTGGGCTAATTAAAAAATCCATTCTCCTTCAAAGCAGTGTTGTGTAACAGAAATATAAAGCTAACCAGATAGTAAGTTTACATTTTCTAGGAACCACATTCAAAAAATTATTTTCAATAATATATATTTATTCCAATATATTACGCAAGATATTGTTTCAACATGTAATCAATCCTTAAAAACTACTAGTGAGTTTTTTGGAAATATAACTTTGAAATCTGGTATGGATTTAACACAACATGTCTCAATTCAAACTAGCCAATTGCAAGTGTTCAGTAACCACATTTGACTGATGGCTGCTATATTAGACAGCACAGCTCTCAAGCAAAGCTACTGAAATCCAAAAACAAAAACAACAAAAAAGTCTTTTTGCAACAGAACTCTAAACTCTACTGTAAAATATACATAAGGACTCCTAATGCAAAAGCTGACTTCAAGATTTGACAATGATAATGATACTGATGATGTAATAACAGCTGATACTTAAATACAGTATAAACCATGCCCCGGTTACAGTTTCAAGCATGGTTTTTACTCAGTTCTCACAACAACCCTATGAGGATTATAATCTCTATCTGTAAGATGAAGAAACAATCCCAGACAACCAGGCCACAAAGAAATATTATGCATCTGATAAAATAATAAAGGAGAATTCTATGTACTGATATAGAAAGATATTCTAAATGTATACAAAAGAGCTTTATATTGGACAGTAAGTTAAAAATCAAGTTGCAGAACAAAATGTTTACCGTAACATTCTTTTTCCAAAAGAAAAGTGTATGAAAATAAGAGACATTCTCACACATTTGTACTTTTACACGTAAACAGTTAATCACAGTTATATTCATATCAAAAAAGGTTTGGAAGGTTAGAAGCAATGGTTAACACTGATTATCCTGGGAGCAAGTGAGTTTAAGTTAAAGGTCTCTTTGTTTTAAATTTTTATCTTTTATATAATTTTAAATGTTTATATGCCAATGCTGGCAGAAAGAAAAAATAATACAAACTTTTAAAAATGGGAGAGCAAAGAAGGAACAGCCTTGAACTTGACAGTAATCCTACAAATTCTGAAAGCACAGCAAAAGATACGGAGCATCAGGGACCTTTGCCCTCCAAAGATCTGCCAGATAAATAAAATTTAAGAATGGCTTTGCACGTGTACCCTAGAACTTAAAGTATGATAAAAAATAAAAAAAATAAAAAAGAATGGCTTTTTTTGAGAGAAATATATAGTTTAGAAAAACATTCAAAATGTGCCTATCTTACATTAATGAATTTACCTGTGGATAAAGCTGGACAATAGGAAGCATCTGTAATTAGTTTGTTCCTCGAAAGCAGAGGTCAACAAATTTTTTCAGTTAAGTTTATATTTTTGGCATTCCAGGCCATATGGTTTCTGTTGTAACTACTCATCTCTGCCACTGTAGTTAGAAAAAAGCTATAGACAACATGTAAACAAACAGCATGGCTGTGCTCCAATAAAGCTTTGTTTATAAAAACAGTTGGAGAATGGGATTTGGCCCATGGATAATAATTTGCCATCCCCCACTCAAGAATAAGGTTCAAGGAGTTTGGCTACACATTATGATACATCCCCTCTAAAAAGATCATTTTAAGACACCACTACAAGAAACCTACTGTGGCATTTACCAAAGGAGTATTGGTGAGGACACTGTGCACTCCACCTCCTAGAGTAAAAGCCAAAAAGGAATTTTTTTTTTAGTCCTATATGGCAAGAAATATTTTCTTACCATGGGAAATTTATCTTTCTCTTTAGGGAAATACAAATTGTGTAACTCATGATGTCTGCAAGAAAGATCAGAACAATTAGTACATTAATTTATAAAAATGGTTTCCAGCCAGGTTTTTTACATATTACCTAGCAATGCTTTTGAGGTCTTGATCTTTATTGTTACCACCTTTTCCTTAATCCAGATTTTAGCTATCTTTACTTTCCATTTGATTGTATGAAAAACCAAAGAAGAAATTTTTTTTAAATAAGCAACTCACCTGGGACTTCATCATTTTTTGCTCTTTTCCAAAAGGCCAGATGACTGAAAAAGCAAAACTGGTGATCAGAATGTTTTTCATAGACCAAACCCAGACTGCAGCTTTCACATTCACCAGTCCACCAACAACTAACACGAGAAGTGAGGTAGCTAATGGGCTACCCTGTGGGATAAGGTTGTTTGAGCCTAACAGAAGGATCGGCAAGCACCATGTGGAGGAGGGATCATTCTTTACTCCTCTTGTACTTATAATATGATCACATAGAAGTTGACCAAGGTTTATAATTGGATAGATGTGAAGATATGTTTCCAGCTGATTTACTAACAACTTACTGTTCCCCCCGGGAATCAGCAATTCTATTTATATAAGATTTTCATGAGGCAATAATCATGGATAGCTATATAAAGATATAAGTGAAGATGGAGCTCCTTGGCAATAAGAATGGGAATGACCAAATGGAAAACTGAGGCATGCATTCCCTATTCCTAAAAAGAACCAGCAGCTGAATTCCAACAATCTTCCAAGAACTCTCTTATATTATCCCCAACTCAGAAAACTCTTGCTAAATCAATGTGCATGAACTCAAAGGTTAATTTTAATATGTTTTCTGTTTAAATGTGTATTGCTCTTTTTCAACAGCGCTATTGTCTGCATACAAAAATGATGATAGGTTGCAACCACTGAAAAAAAGAGAATATACCACAATGCAGGAAGGTACATACCTAGTAAACTTTCCTCAGTCCCAGGACAAGTCATGCAGACAGAGCCTGAACTAGCCCAGAGGAAGTGGGGGCTCCCATGATAGAGAGATTATTTTATAGGGGGTATCCCAGGTTGTATCAAAACAGATCTAGAAGGACACAAAAGAAACAGTCATACTCATCTCTGGACACTCAGCAGATGCTCAATAAATGTCTCTTGAATAAAATATAAAATGATTTCAACAAACTGAGAAAGTGGAGGACTGAAATCAAACTTTTTATTATGATTCTATCAGTTTTTATTTGTTTGGTCTTGTTGGGGGTACCATCGGAAATGCTTAGGGGGCAATGGTAGACTACGAAAAGATGTGAAAAGGGGTTGACCTTTAAGAACTCAGCTGCCTATGACCTGTGGAAATTTAACGTAAGTAAAGGCCTTCCCCAGTAAAATGTGGCTGACCACCACAACACCGTGGCCCCATTACTGTCCCCATCTAAATCTCGGAATTCTCAAGCCTAGCAATTATGTACCCTCTTGAACTCCCCCATGTCCATCACATCACTGAACTCATGGACGCCCCCATCATTTAGTCCATAGCCTCCCATCACGGATTCCTCAGAGCCTCGTAAATCACTGAACCCAGTTAAACTCACCAGTCAGTCCACCTGCACGCCATTCCTGATCCCATAGACATCCCCTCACTTCTCACTTCCCAGTTACTAATCACATCTTGGATTCCCACATAAATCCAACACTAATCCCACCTACTTCCCCCACCAGTGACTTTATAAACCTACCACTGACCCTCACGGGCTCCTCTCCTCCCATTACCAATCCCACAGACTCACCCTTCACCGCACACATCCCGCCTCTGACACCCAGCTGGATTATCAGGTCCCAAAACCCCCATCACGGCTTAATGGGAACCGCTGTCACATCCATATTGGCAAACTCTCCTGCTTCCTGTCCGGGAGCACAACACCAGGCTCCGTAGGCTGCGTTGTTCCGTACGGGGCGGTTTTGCCCGTTCCGCATCTTCAGAGGCTTTGTTCAGGAAGCAACATGGCTGCTCCCTGAAGCTGTTTCCGCATGGGGCCGCCATCTTGAGAGCCCGGTCGTCTCCGTACTAGCGGAGGATTCGCCCGGTGCTGAGCCCGAGAGTGGGCTGTACCAACGGGGCAGCGAAGGAAGGGGAAGACGACGGAAAGGCGGCCTATGAAAGGAGCAGTAAGATGCACACTTTTGCAGACAGATTTTACAAGAAGGATTGAAGAGGAAGTTGGAGTGAACCTTCCTCTACTGGAAGCATGCTTCTGACGAAAGGGGAGGAATTTTAAATGGTACCATGGACGTGTTTGTGCATGGTACAGCCCCATGCCGGGAGATTCGATTTGCTGAGAGGGGAAGCGTGGAATGGTGCGGTCCTCTCCAGGGAGATTCCACTGTGGGAGAGAGGGACAAAATCTGGGGGCTCAACAATCATTGTGAACTGTAATTATGCCAATAACAACGGTAAGGAATCCTTATAAGGGAAATTGATATTGCAGTAATAAGTAATAACAGGTCGACTGAAGGAAAAAGGGAAATTAAGAGGCAGGGAAGAAGAGACCGAGGCACAAAGAGAGGGACAGTGAGAAGCAGAGAGTCAGAGAGAAAATGGGGGAAATGGGGACAAAGGAGCAAGCCTAGAAAGGAGGAGAGACGGGACACTGAAGAGAAAAAAAAACAGACATAGGAATAGAAGTGGGAAGCTAAGGGGTAGAGTGTGGTAGACAGAGAGATTGAGACAGAAAAGAGACTTGAAAACCGGAACGGAAATAAGGGAGAGACTGAGAAGGTTAGATTTCAGAAACAACAACAACAACATGATTTTTAAAAAATGAACCAGCCAAAGAGAATATTAAAATTGTTATCTTAACACTTAGACCTTACATCAAGCTTTAAAAAAGCAAAATGCATGTTCACAGACCAATGTTTCATTTGTATGAATGAATACAATTTTGAATCATAAGTTTCACACGAGTGATGCTTTTTGATATATTATGAAACAGGCAGCAATTTTACATTTAGCAATTTTATTTCTCATGTCAACACAAAGGCAGACTTAGATAAGAAGACAATGTATGCAGAAAGAACACTGTTGCATTAGGAAGAAGGCTCCAATCTCAAATCTGCAAGAATCACAATATCAAACAAAATGACTTTTTTTTATAGGGAGGAATAAGAAGGGTTAGCAGGAACTTTGTAGGGAGGAGGATATGAGGTAGGGGTGTGCAGGTGGCAAAACCGGGGCATTTCTACAGAAATTGTTTCTGTTGTCATGGAATTCAGAATAAGCGGTTAAAGGGAGATGTTCTGAATCATAGTGCATTAGTGCGGTGTTTCAACTCAGGGGAAGGCAAAATGTAGGGGGCTGTGGGAAGGAGAGAAATCTGACTAAAGTTTGGTCAAGGCAAAGAGGGTAAGAAATGGTTGGTTGTGAGCACTTAACTTCTCATATCTATTTAGGCTTCCACAGTTATATCAATATTTGTTTCTTGCTTTGAGCTTAAGACAGTGTAGACACTGAATTTAGTGGTAAGGGTATATAGTAATGATTAATTCAGAATCCTCAGCCTCAAAGAGTGATGCCAGTGGAAGTTGTAGACTCAGGAAAAGGCCAGACTCGACTACTGTTCCTATGTGGAGAGCCTTGTAGGAATTGTAAAAACTTTAGTTCTTCATCTTAAAAATGATGGAAAGCTGTCCTTATGTAGTACCTAATTTAAAAAGAAGATGTTGAAGGAACAGGAAGCCTCCCTCATAATGAAAGGAAGAAAATTAAAGCCATAGTATGATACCATTTCTCATCTATTTGCTTGTAAAATATTATTCTAAGTTTGGCAACACTGTTGGTTAGGCCATGGGAAACATCATGTATTGCTATTGGGACGGCAAACTTATAGCCCCTATTTAGAGGTGTTGGCAATATCTAGCAAAACTACATGTATTGGTTATCTATTGCTGTGTAACAAATTACCCAAAACTTAGCAACTTGAAATTATAAATATTTATTGTCTCATAGTTTCTGTGAGTCAAGAATGGGAACAGCTGGGCTGGGTGGTTCAGGTTTAGTCTCTGTGAAGTTGCAATCAAGCCATCGGCCAGGGCTGCAATTATTTCAAGGCTCAAGTGTAGGAGGATATGCTTCCAAACTCAATCAAATAGCTGTGGGCAAGCCTTGGAGTATCAGTTTCCAAGTTTGCTCACGTGGCTGCTTACAGGCCTCAGTTCCTCACTATGTGGGCCCTTCCTTAGGCTATCTTACTGTTTTCATGATATGGCAGGTGACTTCCCTCTCTCTAAGACTGCTTCATGATATGATAGCTGACTTCTGTACAGACCAAGTGAGTCAAGGGAGAGAGAACACACACAAAACAGAAGCCACAGGCTTTTTATAACCTAAATTGGAAGTGGCATCTGATTACTTTTTCTGTATTCTATTGGCTAGAAGTGAGGCACTCAAGCCAGCCCATAATCAGATGAATGGGAATTGATCTCCACCTCTTAAGGGGAGGATTATCAAAGAATGTATGGACGTATCTCTAAAACCACAGCACTATGTAATTTTTACCCTATGATTCAGAAACCCCACTTGAAGAATATATCCCAAAGATATACCAGCAGAAAAAAAATAGCCAAAAGATTATTTATTGCAAAACTGTTTTTAATACCAAAAGACAGCAGATAACACAAACATTTAAAACAGTACTACTTAGCTGTGTATGTGTATGTGAGAGGAATTGGAGGAGAGAGGGAGGGAGAAATATCTTTCTGTACTAACATGAAGTGAATTTCAGGATATAATATGTATCCTGACATTAATTATATTAAGGATACAATATGTAAAAAACATGAAGTGGAAAAATGAAAATATTTGCTATTACCATTTTTAACATAAAAGTGAATGAATATGTATTTATTATATATGTGCATAGCATATATATAAACAGTTGCAGTGAGAAACAAATGAAGTGACCCCTTTCCCCAGTCCTTTTTATTTACACCAGTTATGTTCTATAAAGTCATCATAAGCCCTGGATTAGCAAGTACTGAACCATTGCTTCCAAGGGAAGAATAAAATAATATATATATAAAATATTATTTTGTAAAATGAAATCCCAGCTGAGAATATATATGTATATATAAAATAACCCTAAAAACAACTTATCCTGGGCAGATTTTATTTTATTTTACAAAAGAGAAAATGAGGTTTAGAAGTGTTAATTAACTTGCCTAATGTCACTCCATTAACAGCTGCAGCTTCTTGTACATTACCATGCTGCCCCTTCTGTCTCTATCCTCTGGTCGTCTCAATACCTCAAGCCAGAGTTCTAACTATACTGGGAAGGTGCACATGAGGTGACACATTTTTGCTAGTCTGTGTGTCTGCAAATAATTGCAAAAGTGCTGTGAGTATTGATTTTGGGGTTATAAATGGATTTTAGCAAGTAGGTGAATTTGCAGATGCAGAATTTGTGAATAATGAAGATCAACTAAATATATACTTACCTTAAAAATTAAAAATGAATAATGGAAAAATAAATCATCAAATAAAACATTATCTATAAAGGGTGGTATTATCTATGAAAATGTAGCAAATAACCCCAAAATGTAGTGGCATAAAAATGCACATTTGTTGTCTCACAGTTTCTGTGGGTCAGGAAGTTGACAAATTATCTAGTTTCTCTGCTTTAAGGTCTCTCACAAATCTATAATAAAGTTATCATCCAAGTATAGGCTTTCATTTGAAGGCTCAACTGGAGAAAGATCCACTTCCAAGCTCAATCATATGATTTTGGGAGGATTCAGTGCCTCAAGAATTATTGAACTGAGGGTATTCACTTCTTTGATAGCTGCTGGCTAGAAGCCACTCACAGTGCCTTGCCATGCAGAATGCTCTAACGTGGAAACTTGCTGATTTAAGGAGGCAAGAGAAAGAGTCTATAAGGGAGATGGTAGTCACAGTCTTTTATAATCTAATCATGAGAGGATATCCCCTCAATGTTGCCATATTCTATTGGTTAGAAGCTACTTATTTATATGGAAGTGACTACACAAGGTCATGAATACCAGGAAGTGGGGATCATTGGTGGTCATCTTAGACACTTCCTAAGAAGGTAATAAGACAGAAGGGACAGAAATAGTACCCACTGTCCTTTGAATGTACCATGTTCTGTTTATTTTACTTGAGAACCACAAAAAATTTACATAATTATAAAACAAAATTAAATTTTAGAAAATAATTCCAAACTATTGCTTCTGGCCAAGATGAAATAACAGGGAATGAATGCAGACATGTATTGGTCCATTTTCACATTGCTGATAAAGACATACCTGAGACTTGGTAATTTATAAAGAAATTACCAAGAGGGTTAATAAAGAAAAAGAGGTTTAATTGACTCACAGTTCCACATGGCTAGGGAGGCCTCATAATCATGGTGGAAGGTGAAAGGCACATCTTACATGGTGGCAGACAAGAGAAGTGAGAGCCAAGCAAAAGGGGTTTCCCCTTATAAAACCATTAGATCTCATGAGACTTATTCACTACCATAAGAACAGTATGGGGGAAACTGCCCCCATGATTCATTTTTCTCCCACTGGGTCCTTCCTACAACACATGGGAATTATGGGAGCTACAATTCAAGATGAGATTTGGGTGGAGACACAGCCAAACCATATCAATACTTACACCTGAAATGATTTTAAAAACAGACAACTATATGAAACAATAGTTTTAAGATATTAGACATCAGGCAGTAAAGGATGGTAATCCAGTATGATTTTGTTACAAAAACCACACATAATACCTACATGAACAATACAAATCAGAGGTAAGTCATTAATATTCTACAAAAATTCCTATGTAAAACATTAGTAAGAAGAACCTGCTATACATAAAGTAAGAATATACTAGTCCAAAGTAAACTGAGATGTTCTTTTCAGGAACAACATGATAACTCAGTATTAGGAAATCTACTAGTATAATTTATCAAATATGTTGGCGAATCAAAACTAGTTATGGTTTGTGGAACAGGAGGGTCAGCTGGTCAGGATCTGGCCATTGTTGAGCTGCAGTTGTTTTGCTTATCTTGATGCCAGTATTTGTTTAGTTGCTAAATAAAAAACCTTGTGGCAGTTAGAACATAGTTTATTCTTTAACTGTAGGGGTACATGATTTAACCCTCATCTGGCATGGCCTTAGGTCTTGTTTTATAATTTAGTATCTTATTGATACAAAGAGTCTATTCTGTCAGTCTCATGATCTCTATTTTAACATCGTGATTCATTGCAGTGTGTAGGGTGGCCATGTGCTTTAAAGATGGCCACCCCATGGTGCCTGGCTGGAGGCCACTGTGTATTGGAATACGCCAATGCTGTGCAGTAGGGCAGCAGTCCCCCAGTTGACCTGAAGAGCCAAACTATCTGGTCAGAAGCAGGGAGGGCAATGAAAGCTAACTCCTGGAGAGCTT